TTTATTATTATGTATAAGGAGGATGATACCTCTTTTGTATTTTATATTTACTAGCTGTTTTGATTTTTTACTATATATATATATATATATATATTATGATGTTGGCAGATTGATTGAAAATTGCATGTGAAAAATAAAGATGAATGTATAGTCTTATTTTAATAACTGATGCATAGAATTAAAAAAAGGGGGGGATTTGAAAATCTAGCCTTTAAAGTGCAAAATAAAGTTATGACCTACTGTATATTTTTGTTTATTGAATGTGATCATAAATTTCTTCTTTAATCTCAGTAGATATTATTAATAATATGTAACATTTACTCATAAGCCTGAATAGATGTTATTAATAATATATAAAATTTATTTAATTCTTATTGCTATCTCCAGAGTAATTCAGAAAACAGTATTATGTACCCATCAGCAACTGAGCTGTCAGACTGCTAAACACTGCTAGTTCAACCAAGGTTTAATTCCTATTAGAATGGCTGGTTGCATAGCAGATACCTTGGTTTTTTTTTTTTTTTTTTTTTTTTTTTTTTTTTTTTTTTTTCCATGTGAAACGTGTATGTGAGCCAGTTTTTCTTAAAAAGTCTTCCCTAAAAGCATTCCTTTCACAAGACGGTGTGCTTTGCCGTAATCCCTAATTTCATGTGTTTTGCCATAATGCATTGTAATCACAATCACAATTCTTACTGCATGAAAAGTAAATAATAATTCTTTTATTAGTTGTATTTGAATTTCAGTGTTAAAATAATCTTTGACAGCATATTTAAGATGTTAAAAATTGTTATTTTGCAGTTAAGAATTGGAGAATGTCAAGAAATTCACCTCATGGAATATATTTTCTTGATGCTCTTTAAAGTTTTTTTGATTACATAAATATTTTAAAATCTTATATGTATATGAATAGTCTTCAAAACCACATTATCTATTCTTTTTGATAAACATAGCAAATAGATATTTTTTATTGTTTAACACAGCCCTTGAAAGGTTTTTAATTTTTAAAAAATTTGAAAATATGAAGCTGTTGCATGGTATGGAGCCAGATTTGTTTTCGATAACATTAATTATTCGCTAATGATATCAGTAAGGAAGTTTCTACCTGAGTAAACATGATGCCAAACAAAATACTTTTGTGTCAGTGTTGAGCAATTTCATTTATTTTTATTTTTTCTTTTAGTTTAATTTGCTTATTTATTTTTTTATCACTTTTGTTTTCTCTTTTTAGAATAATTTAACATGTTTGATATGTGGTAGATTGATGAATTAAAGATGAATAAGGATAACAAAGTAAAAGCACTTAGGAAAAAAACGTAATATGCATGTTTCAGTTGTGCACTGAAAAAATAAGAATAGATGTTGCCATGAGGTAATTGATTTATCTGTTATTTACAGGTGACTTGCTTTCAAATAGTAAATTTTATTTTTTGTAGCATTTTGAAAATATTGATTTTAATCTTTTCTCTGTGAAAAAGTATTTACTAATATATGACTGAAATGCAACAGATTTATTAATTGAGATATACAATGAAGTGCCAAAATTCACTACACTTAATATTAAATAGACCCTTAGTTCATTCTGTAAGCAATAAAAAACCATGTTTTCTGCTGAGACGTCTGTAATTTTATTGCAATCAGCAGAGTAAGTTTTCTCTATTCTTCAGCATGGCATCCTAGATGTGTTTGATAATATTGAGATTTGATGACTTACACGAATATGGCAAAATTCTAAACATAAATTATTGTTCTTTTAACCATATTTTGGCATCTCTAAATGTGTGCATTTGCATGTTGCTCTATTAGCAGAGACTAAACCCATTATAATGAGCAGAAGCTATGAATATAAATGTGATTCAAATAGAAAATTTGTATGTAAAGAGTTCATCTATCAGAGATGCTCATAGATATGCCAGGGATTTATCTAGGTACCAGTAAAACAAATCATGCTGCATTAAAAAGCTACAACAACCTGCATAGTCTCTTGTTAACAAGTACAATACATGGATTCATAGCGTTTATCTTTTCACTTATACAAAAAATTATTCGAAATGTAGTTTGCCAAATAAGGCCACTAATTTCCAGTTGTCATATAACAAGGGTCTGAATTTGCAAATTTGTTTTGTGCATTTTTCAAGATATTCTGTTTGGTTATTGGCTCCTCAAGCTTATATAATGAAAAGAATGTTCCACAGCCCTCATGTTAATGATACTGCCTCACTGGATTTGAAATTTGCTTGGGGCTGTGTTGCACCTCTATGGTGTGAAATAATTCTTTAGAGTTGAACTGGCTGTTTTCATTCAGAGTTTTTTTATGACCATACTCTTTTTAATATTTAATTCACTACTTTTCTAGAATTGTTGCGTAAAAAATAGTCGTATGGGGAAATAAAGTTTTGCCTCAATCTTCAAAATGCCATGACTAGTCACACGATCTTCAGCTATTTGACCACGTTAAAAATTTCTAAAATAATTTTAGCATTCTGAAGTCAAAACCTGTTTAGTAACTTTTGTAGATTTCTATCATTTTTATGTATACACAGGTGGGTGCATAAATAATGTCATTCTAAATTCTGCATGTGCTCATATTTTTTTGGGGGGGGGATAACTCATAAATTTATTTCAGAGGTAATCACATATGAAATGTAAGGACAGTTTTATTTTCTCACTTTACATCTATTTTGAATCTGAGTAGAAGCAGTTGCTACCTTCTAATTTAGTCTAATCTATATATACATCATATTTAAAATTAGTTTAAAAGAATTTTAATGTTTGAGCTATTGTAATCTGACTGAAGTATCCTTTTCAGAATATGGATTGAACACATTCATGTTGTTCGAACACATAATAGTATCTACTGTGATGCATTCCTTGTAACCAATTTGCAAATGAGCCTTTCTGGAATTAGCTAATAATAAAAATGCACTAATGTATGATTACCTTTCAACCAATCAGTTGAAATACTTTTAATAAAACTTATTTTTTTTATGGAGTTTAAATCAATTTTCTTTTGATATTCTAAAAAATATAGATGCTAAAATGATGCTTCACTTGGAAACTCAGACAGAAGTAAGTAAGGCACTTCAGCAACACAACAATATGCAGTGTTACTCTTTTTAATCTTGTAGATTCTAGCAAATAAAATATCAATGTTTGATAAAATTGGTCATATGACTTTTCAAATTCATGTTATCATGGGCAACTTAAAACTTTTCTTAAAATATTTAAAATATAAGAATGATTTTAAGCACTTATTTTAAATCATTTATTATTATTATTCTGAGGTAGCAAACCTCGTTTAACACCCTCTTTAGCAAAGTCTCTCCTGCCCTTGAGAGACATAAAAATATAGCTATATATATTGCTATATTTTTATATAACATAGCTATATTCTTATGCCTTCCAGAAGCATTTCTTTCATAACTTTTGAAAATATCTTCCTAACTTCTTTCTACCAAATCTTTATGTCTATTTTTGGATCTTAGAAATTTAACGTCCCATAAATGAATATAATGTTATGCACTCCAATAGAATTAAGAAATTCAGCTCTTAAAATAAAACACTAAGGAAAATGTGTATAAATTCATGAAATGGAAAAGAAATAAAAATGATGTGGTAGATTTTATTATGATGTAGTAAAATTGTAACATTGAAACTGTTTCTGAGCAATGCTGAAAGAAGAAGCAATTCTGTGTCACGGTATCTATGGAGGCAAGAAAAATTTTGCATCACAATGACATCATAACCATGAAACTGTGTTTCCCAGGTTTGCCAGAAAAAGAAGCTGTACTTTCCCTTACTATTTCACACTATAGCATATTTTATATTAAATGTAGAAAATCATCCAATGGAAATTTTTATCATTCTTGTTTTAAAAGAGCCAAAAAATTAATGAAATGTGTAAGAATGAAATGTGTAAAATTTTGTAACTAGTACATTTTTAGATGTCGAAATCTGATAATCATTAACATCAAATAGAAAATTCAATCGATTTTCGAAAATTCACCAAAAGTCAGAATAGTCATTAAAAAAACCAATGCAAATTTTATTTAAATTTCTTTTTTCTGCTCTATCTCATGTAAGTAGTAAATTGCTGAGATTTTTTAGTTTGTTTGTTAAGTGAAGATATGAACAAAATATCATTTAAACATTAAATTTTAAGAAATGTAATCAAATTTCAAAAGAATTGCTTCACAACATTGCAGTATCATCAACAGACCGTTGTGTTTAAAATTAGAACTCAATAACTTATCAGAAAGTTGGTTATCGGCTGCAAATTTCTAACCTCAGTGACAAACATAATGAGTGAATTAAAATAAGCGTGTATAGAAAGGAGAATGAATTCTAACATGCTGCTCAGTTAACAGTGTACTTATCATAAGGATGTAATTGCTTACAGCATTAAACCTTCAGGGAAAGTTCAAATATTTTTATACTTTAAATGAAAAACTAAATTCTTTGCATCATAATTGTGGGCTAGATTTATTTTTTAAAAATTTTGGTAAGATGTTGCATTCTAAATTTTAAATATATGAAAAAGGAAATAATATGTAGTTAATACATTTCAGTATTTTTACTTTTTATGACTGAATGAGTGTAAAAATTTTATAATTCAGAATTTACTTAAGTAATACTTATGCATACAATAAAGCGTCTAAATCTTGCATATCATACATGATCTTTTAAAACTTTTTTTCATTATGGATGAAGTAATGCCTGTTTGTATTTATAAAAAGCTTATTTTTAATCTTTATTATTGAGGCAACTTAAAATTCTTTATATTAAAAAATTAAGTACCTTTATTTCAATATTTTCCCTAAAATTTTCATTACTATTTTAAAAATCAAATCTGACGTTTTATTGTACTAATTTTTGTTTTGACATTAATTTCGAACTTGTTGCATTTTTTAATTAGTGTTTGAAATTTCTTATTCTTTAAAGGAAATACTTAATTTAAAATTTGAATAAACTTTATGATGTCATTGCATTGTGTTCATTTTCAGCAAAGGCATAAAGGTAAAGCTAAAAATCATGGCAGCAGTAATGCACAGAAAATGTATCGAATGGATGAGGAAAGAAATGCTTTGGAACATGAACATTGCAAGAAATTGCAGGAAGATCTCACAAAACTCATAAAAATGTCCTCTAACCTAGCTCCGGAAGTGGAATCCTGTACTGAAACACTGCAGGAAACTAAAATATCAGAGCAATGTATTGAAGCTACCAATGAAAGCCATGGCCAGAGCGATGATGATGATGCAAATATCTCTGAAGGTGAAAGTGATTCGGGTGATGGAGAAAATGAAATCACAAATGAACAAGATGTTTGTTGTGAAAAAGCTAATGGTTGTTGTAAAAACATTTATTCACATGATGGTAAAGTCAGTGTTGATGCGTTCCTGTAATGGTTAATTTTATGTATTGGTGTATTAAATTATTCATTTCCCTGTTTTAATGTAGATATTTAAAAATGCTTAGTAACATTTTGAGTATTATTAATGAATTTGTTTCTAGTGTAGCAAAGCTTATTTATAATCTAGCTAGCAGAATTTTTATGCTGTTTTTAATGTGTTAGTGCACAGAAAGAAAAAGAGCTTGTTTTATCCTATAGAAACTTTGAAGAAGGTTAAATTTTGTCTCTTTATAATATACAAACTATAATATGAATAACTATATACATATTATCTAATCTTTTGAATGGGTTTGCTGTATTGCAGCACTGTAAGTAAAATACTGTATTTATTATGAAATAAATTTATGATTATCAATGAGTCTTAAAAGAACCCATAATAATAGCATGGTAGCATATAAACTTAGTTTTTTCCCTCTTATGTTATGCAAGATAAAATTTTCATTGCATAAATTATAAAACAACTGAAGATTAAGTACCTAAAAGTATCTCATATTTTGTATACAATGTACTGTCAACTGTTATAAATATTTAAAAAAAAAAAAAAAAAAAAAAAAAAAACCTCTCTTAATATAATTACACAAAAATCAATTTTATAAATGAGAATGTGGAATGAGGGTAGAATGAAATGAATCTATTCCTTAAATTTCAAGCTGTTGAAGATTTTATCAGCAATAATAGTAAGAACATTTTAAAAAAAAATTAAAAAAAAAAAAAAAAAACTTTAATATTTAAAAATCTATTAATATAAATTGGATGAAAACTGCAAATTCAATGTGTCTATGCTAGAGATAGTCAATTGATATTAAAATAATTCATTCATATTAGTTTAAATGGTAACTATTAATATAATCACCTGCTTTACTAATTGAAGTTTAACCAATCGGTATTATATAACAATTTTATAAATATTTACTGAACACATTTTATTTATCTGATATTTCAGAATTTAACTCCTTACTATATATTTTAGTGTAATAATTGTACTCCCTTCTTTGCTTTGTGTTCTTAATTCATTTATATTTATGCCCACTGCCAAAAGTATTCAGTGTCTGAATATTTTCAGCATTGATGCACGGTGACATTTTAAGTACTGTGGATGTTTTTATCATATTCATATTGTGTATTTGATATTTAAATCATGTTATTTATTGTGAGTTTGATGTTTTAGAATAAAATTTATGATATTAAGTTCATGTCCTAGTTATAAAGTATGCTTCTTTCATATCAGAATTGCATTGCAATTTTAATATATTAACTTATCATAATAATATATAATCATTTTGATAACAAATCACATAACCAAACATGTAGCTAAATGAAATAAATTGTTTTAAGAAAAAATACAGTAACTTTGTTGATTTTAAATTCATTCATGCTTTCTTACTTAAATAGGTTTTATTATGTAATATTTCTTAACAAATCTTGAAAAATTTCTGTTATATGAACAAATACAGTAACCTTGTTGAAGTAAAATTTCGTTCCTGCTTTCTTACTTTACAGATAACATTAAAAAAATGAATTCTGAAAAAAAAGTTAAATCAGATAAACAGTTAATTTCCAAAGTTTAATATGTTTTGTTAAAACCTAAAGTTTTAAACAAAGAAAATTTTAAAATGTTATAGTTAAATATTCACTTAGTAAATTATTCCCTGAACACTAGTGTTATTTGCATAATAAAATTTCCTCAGATATATGAAAATGAAATATCATTTCATGTAAATATTCTGAATAATTTATTTTGCATTAAGTTCTTAATGATAAGAATGGAAGGAGATTAAAAATATTTTTACAATATATGTAAAATTCTATTTTATTTTACAAATTACTAGCACTAAAATATTATCATTAAAACACTTAACTGCTGATTTCAAAGTAACAAAAATAGTTATACAACTTTTTTCTTTCAAAAATAATAATGAAAAATAGTTTTGAAATCTTTACAATAAATTTCCAATATTTGTCAGCAACATCTCTGAAGATAATGTTGTGGTATAGAATTGATAATATTTTGATTATTATGATAATTGTAATATATGTATCATATTATATATATTATTTATGATATATATTAATACTATTATAATTATAAGATATTATTATATTATTCTATGTATTATATATGATATTATTATATAATTCTATGTAAAACTGAATAGCTGAAAAATATACCTTACATGTAACATCTGGAATATTTCTGCTTTTATAATAACAACTGATCATTGTCTTCTAAGATGAAACTATTCTTTTCTACTAAACGTAAAATCTTAATCTTCTTCTGAATTATTCCAGGAAATCAGATGCATGATCTCATTTTATGCTAACAAATATACATTGGTTATTTTAAATACTTCCATCTTTTCTAATATGAATTAATTGTGTATGCAGAAGAAATAAATATATTTGAATATTAAATGATAAAGGTTATAAATAGAAGTCAAATTTTTAAAAATTATACAACCATATTGATATGACTTTTGATATATTAATGTTATTAGGACATACATGCACACTTAATGAACGTAGATACAAGGGGAGCCCAGCTTTCTTCACATATTCTTAAACATGTATTTTGAGGACTTTATAAAACTGGTGTTTTTAGCAAGATTAATTTAACAGTTTCCATGTGTATAAATAACTATACAGCATTTTGTTATTGGTATTTTAATACTAGCAGATGAATTTTTTGTTGCAATTCAGTCACATTGAAAAGAAATTAAAATTATAATTTATAAAAATATTTATATTATAATATTCAAATGAAAAGCTATAACTTTATAATCATTAAACAATTTTTGTTAGTGTTTAAGGATTCATATCAAAAGTTTTTAGTAGAAGATATTGCGAAAAGCTTATTTTGCAGACTGATTTACAACATTAAAGAATTATTGATTGTGTTTTCATACTATTTTGTTTTATTTTTATTGAATTATTCATATTTCTCTCAACTTTTTTTAAACAAGGATTGAAATTCACTGTTCTCGGAGCTTATTTTAAAAGAACGTAACCACTGTCAGCTAGATTTATTTTGTTAATATAAACTTACTTAAAGGTAAGATATAAACTTTCATAAAATTAATTTCATGATGACTTTTATCTTCTGTTGACAAAATCAGAAATGAGATGAAGGTGATATATTTGTCTTGGTAATTTTTTATTCCTGACAGAATAAGTGCTGAAAAGAAAAATATTTAATCAAAGGATTTTGTAGTGCACTTAATAGTAATTCATCTAGTTTAAAATATCATCTTTTGCACAGAAGAATGTGCAAGGATAGTTTTGCACTAGAAAGTGAAGTGCTGAAACATAGCCCAAAACTATGGTAGTTTTGTACTAGAAAGTGAAGTGCTGAAAAATAGCCCAAAACCAACACATCTAAAAGAACTTGTAGATCTGTTGACAGATCACAGCTAATACGGCTTCATGACACTTGTTCAACTGTTATAGATAATAGTGACATTCAAATGGTTTGCACCAATTTCTAAAGCATATTTAGTCCACTGAATTGTTTCTTAAAAGTGAGTTTTGATATCTATTTAGGCAACTTTTTGCTTTAGGCATAAATGATTCTTAAAAAGTTTTGTATTCCATCACTAGTTACAGGCAATATGGCAACCAACTGGGTAAAACGACACAGATTTGTACAAGTAGAGTTATACGTGGGTGAGATCTCAGAATTTTACATTGATTGTACTAAGTCACTAAGTCATTGACTAAGTCACACTAACTGTGCAGCTCTGACCCATTTTGATGTTGTACAACCCCAGGGTCTTCCACCCCTTTTCCTTTATTTTCGTGGTTCCATTCAAAAGGATTTTTGACTCACTAGCACTGTAAGTTCCCCCATGCTGCATAGGCACTATACATTTAGAGACACCTATACCTTCTCCAAGATTTGAACCCAAGCACAACCATATAGCAGGCAGCATCGCTAACTACTATCAAGACATGTTGATCATCTTGCAAAATAAGTCACATGATGCTCATCAAATGCTGTTGAAAATACAGGAGTTGGACATACAAGCTCTTTTTTACCCACTTTATTTCTTGACCTTGCATCAAGACTTACCTGTTTCAAGCAGACCGACTATTCCTTGCATGGTAACTGCAACAAGATATGAAAAATGCTTCAGTAGACTTGTTTGGCATCAACAAGCTATCTAGTCACAATACTAAGCTATAATAAAGAGTATATAATATTTTGATGATTTATTCTACTTCTTGTTGGAGATATAATAAGCGTAAGTATTGCTTCCAAAGCAGACATGTCATACTTAATGACCAACCAGCAAGGTTTAGTTTAAATGTATTTCATTGTGCTTAATTAGTTTCCAACAATCAGGATGTTTCAAAACCCTATGTATAAAATTCCTATAGAGAATTCCCTATAGATATTGTAGTGGCCCAGTTATTGCATGAGAAATAATTTTTTTATTTCATACATTTGTTCATGTGTTTAATTATTTTATAAAATTAACTTTAATATTTTGTTAATATTCATATTTATATTTCTTTTATGCTGAATGGCAATAAGTAGTTCATATTTATATTTAAATTTCTTTATGCTGAATGGCAACTAGTTCTAGTTCTGATTCATGATTGCTAGGTTTTGGTTTCAAAACGTTGCTCGTAGCGTCGCATTTCGATAGCTGGAAAATAAAATGCAATAACTTAGCTATTTGTTTATAATTCATGCTGTTCCTAGTCATAAATTAATTTTAAACATTAGTAGCCAAGGCTACAATATCATATTCACATAAGAAAGCAATAATGGACATACCACTTACACAAGATAAAAGACACAAAAATACAATACAGAAAGCAGTGTAAAGAGCTTATTAGGTGACATGTAAAAGAACTGGTAGATGCAGAATCCATTTTCAAATTAGGTATTTCAGAGTTTTGATCATTCACAACCTCATACCTCATACACACAGCAGTTGATGTGGATATAAGGCTGCGACATGCATAATGTGCTGGGCATTGACTCAAGATGTTCTCACTGCAGTGGCAAACACATATACAGTGGTGGCCAAAATTGTGGACACTTGGAAATTTTTATGTTTTTGAACTTTGTATGCTTATAGAAAACGTTACGTTTCACAAAATGCAAACTTGTATATATCATTTTAAAGAGAATTTATTACTGAATTCAATACAAAACACAAAATTCAGTTATTTGCAATACAAAAAAAGTTAAATGATAATAGTTATCGATATACATTAGATATTGATGATTGCAGTGAGTTATCAATACTTAGTAGGGTACCCTTTATTTTTGATTACAGCTTCACATTGACGTTTCATTGAGCTGACAAGAGTTTTAAGCTCTTCTTTCATTATTACATGATGCCAGGAAACAATTATAGCCTCAATTAGTTCCCTTTTATTTGATGGGCGCCTCATTCGGACGAGAGTTTTCAAACGGTGCCACAAATTTTCGATAGGATTGAGGTCAGGACTGTTTCCTGGCGATGACAACAATTTAATGCTCTTTGTACGAAACCACTCTTTCGATATTTTTGGCCGTGTGGCAAGGAGCAGAATCCTGCTGAAAAATAAACGAAGCATTGTTGGGAAAGAGATCTTTGATGGAAGGTAGAAGTTTTGGTTCTAGAATAGTGTCAATGTATTTTCTGGCATTCAGTGTCCCATCGATGACATGAAGGCGACCAATACCATCTGCTCACATACATGACCAAATTGTAACACTAACTGGGTTTTTCACAGTTGCTTGAATGCAGTCAGGATGTAGCTCTTCTCCTATTCTACGTCTTACATATTTTCGCCCATCACTACCGAATAACGATATCTTAGTTTCATCACTCCATATAACTTGTGACCACTGATCATCTGTCCAATTAATGTGTTCCTTTGCCCACTGTAGTCTTTTTTTTTTTTTTTTTTTTTGTTGCTGAAAATTAAGATAAGGCTTTTTTTCGTGGAATTCTACCTCTCAGTCCAACATCTGTTAATCTTCTCCTGATTGTTCTTGAACTGACAGAAACACCAGCATCATTCAGATCACTTCTGATGGCCGCTGATGACATTTTTCTATCTTGGAGACATAGTCTTTTTATTCTTCTGTCATCAATAGATGTGGTGCACCTTTTTCTTCCTTTTTGTTTTTTTATTGAATTTGTCTCCTGATATCGTAAACAAAACTTTCGGACTCCAGATGTAGTCACTGAACCAC